TAGGATTCCAAGAACCCTCTCACAGTACTACTGTGTAAGGAGGAGGTACTACCACCTATACTGTACCTGTGCATTTCATTTTTCTTGCCTAAATGTAGAACCTTACTCTTTTCACCATTGAATTTCATTTTATTAGCTAGTGCCCATCTCCTCCAGGACTTACCCAGTCTTTGCAAAGTTTGTCCAATATGTCATCACCACCGCGCTTAGCATGATGTCATTTTTTGAAAAATTGCAAGGAAACAATTCAGTGGGACCAATCATGGGAATTCCTAATACATACGGGACTTCATCTCCATGAGCAGCATCTGCCCATGCAGGAACCTGATCAGTTTGGCAATGGTGATAGAAGGCATAAAAATATGTAGGCGATCCAAAGTTTGAATGAAGATCAGCGGTAGCCACTGCTGGCGCAACCCACTGGTGATCAGTAAATAAAGCCAAGAGTGTTTTTCTTCTTGTTTCAGGATTGTGTCTATCTGCCCAATCTGTATACATAAATTTAATAGTTTCTCTCAAGATGTCTTTGCCTTCTGGGTACCCATATAAGTTATCGACAAAGTTTGAGACAGCAAAGTCAAAATCACTAGCAGATATGCCGTCTTCACTGTCAACAATGTTTTCCACAAACTTGAGCCCTTCTCCTTGGTTAACACCCAACATAATGTCATAATTGAGGAATTCTCCTTGTTCCATCAGTATCTGAGGGTCATCTGGTATCACATCCCCATCAATAACTGGACCAAAGGCTATGTGGTATCGGGCCGGTTGAATATCCTGATCGACAAGTTCTCTATACGGCTTCTTCTGTAGACATTCTACTAATTCTACGGTGTCCGATACATTGCAACCAACTTTTGTGGCCAACATCCTGGCATATTTGGCAGGCTGAAAACTGACTGCCCAGCTGGAAAGAGCTGTTCCACTTTGAGCTATTGCTCTTTGGAAAAGACCTGTGTGATAAAGTAGAGGATAAAGTTAGGGGAAAACGATACTGGATGAGGACAATAGATCACATGCTTAAAGTATCTGAATTAAGATTTCAGCATTACAAAATAGTTAGTACTACTACNAAAAATTATATTTGTGTGTTTGTAAATATTCTCCAAATGTATGTACCTCTCCAAACTAGACTTCTTTCATATCACTGGTTTAGCAAGGAATATCGTAAAGCCAATTCCCGTCCTTGGTTTGTTTGTATTTCTTTCTTTCCTGGAGCTAATTTTGATGACAGTAATAGTTCTGAAGGTGAAGATTTCCCTTCCCAAATCTTTCATTAATAATCCGTCTAATATGCTTAAAAAACATTTTAAATAATATTACATTAAGTGCAGTAGCAATGGATGTGTTTGCTGCTGTAAATCAGCCAATTATTTTCATGCTGCTGCTGGCAATATTATAACTACAAGAAGGACTTTCAGACTATTCCAAGATTCTGAATTTATCAACTCATTGTAATGCCTGCGATGACCCTATAATGCAGGGTTATTTGCTCACTTGTCTCAGTGCTGCTGCAGATGTTATCTATGCATTAATCAATTCAGTGCAATTTGTCCCTTTATATTCACTGGTACATGTGCTGAAAGTTATTTACCATCAGATCTTGCTAGATATTCCTTCAAATGAGTTTTACCCACCTTTCTCAAACATCTATCTCTTACTCCTTTCTGCCTGAAGCAGAAAAACAAGGAGTTTTTCCATATGAGAGAAAATGGCCAGAGCATTAAAATTCTATCTCCTGTAAATTTTAATGATCCTTCATCAGAAACATCAGAAATAGTTTTTTCCCCCAAGTGTGTGCTAATGTTTGTGTGGGGATATCTGCATTAGAATCTGAGAGTTGCCCTGGTTCATTATAATTTCCCCAAAACTATTTAAAATGCCCATACTTCAATTTCCACATTGTCCTTTGTTAACAACCTACACGTACAGGTAGTCCTCGACTTACGATCACAACTGAGCCCAACATTTATGTTGCTAAGTGAGTTTTGTCCCATTTTATGACCTTTCCTGCCAGAGTTGTTAAGTAAATTACTGCAGTTGTTAAGTTAGTGACATGCTTGTTGAGAAATCTGGTTTCCCTGTTGACTTTGCTTGTCCAATTGCAACTGTCATAAATACATGCCAGTTGCCAAGCATTTTAATTTTCATCATGTGACCATGGAGACGCTGTACTATTCGTAAGTGTGAAAATGGGTCATGGGTCACTTTTTCCAGTGCTGTTGTACCGTTGAATAGTCACTAAAGGAACTAAAGGAACAGAGGAAGTCGGGGACTGTATGTAGATCTTGTATGGTGTGATGTGATTTTGTTGATTAGTTCTTGATCTATATTAACATCTAGGTACTCAATACAATACAATACAATACAATACAATACAAAAGCAGAGTTGGAAGGGACCTTGGAGGTCTTCTAGTCCAACCCCATGCCTAGGCAAGAAACCTTATACTGTTTCAGACAAATGGCTATCCAACATCTTCTTAAAGACTTCCAGTGTTGGGGCATTCACAACTTCTGGAGGGAAGTTGTTCCACTGATTAATTGTTCTAACTGGCAGAAAATTTCTTTAGTTCTAAGTTGCTTCTCTCCTTGATTAGTTTCCACCCATTGCTTCTTGTTCTACCCTCATTCTACCCTATGCCTTGGAGAATAGTTTGACTCCCTCTTCTTTGTGGCAATCCCTGAGATATTGGAACAGTGCTATCATGTCTAGAAATAGGAAGAAATAGGAAACTCTCAAGTTTCACTAAAAGCCTACCATGGCTAGTTGTATAACATGTGAATCAGGGGTGAGTTCCTGCTGGCATTACTGCTGGTTTGGCATGCAAAAAATGTTCCATGCACATGTGTATTTGCACCTAAAAAGGTCTGCGCATGCGCACAACATTACAAAAGGAAAAAAAATTACATTTTTGCAAT